GGGGGGCGGGGGCTGGTCAGGGATATGGGTCATGCAGACTGAGACAGAGATGAAAGAGGGAGGAATGGGATGTAGTTGAAGCAGTTGCTCTCTAACCGTAACCTTTCTTGTGCCATCTGCACATATTTCCCCTAAAAAACACATCTGTCACTGAGTGACAAATGAACTACACCATTCTGAACACCCACAGATCTGGGACTGCAGGTACCAAGTTCAGGTCCCAGAATACGGGGTTGTCCTAGGAAGGGTTCTCCAGCCCACCTCCCGTGGTCAGGACCATAGGCTGAAAAAGGGGGTACCCTGGTTAGGCAGTAAACATAATGCAAACCTGTCCTGGAGCCAAAGGCAGCATTCCAGACGCCTTCCCTCACCCCCTCCCAAGCCCCCTGCAGAGCACACTGCAGTAACAAAAACCTCAGACCGAGGCATCCTCTGCCTACCCAGAGTGCTCCTTCCCTGCGTGGTCACTTTACTCCCAAAACTTCCCCAGAGGGGACCCCTCAGGCTGAGTGCCTGTGCAGTCACCAAAGACCATGCAAAAGGAGAGGCAGGGACCAAACCCTTCGGAGTCAGGATCTCTGGGTCTGCAGAGGACATGGGAAGGCTGGGGGAGGCCGGGGACAAGCGAATATGAGGGAGGGAGGGGGTAAATTACGGGCTCGGGAGAGCTGCCAGTCGCTGCCTCCTGTTACCTGTCCCCCAAGAGGGCTTCTTTCGGCTCCAGGAGGGGGGAGCCCCGGCCCGGGCCCACTTCTCGGGCATCTCCTTGGGGACCGTCATGATCCCAGTTTGAGCGGGGGAAGGGCGGGCTGTCTGTCGGTCTGTCCTCGGCCTCAGCGGCTCCGATGGGGCGGCCCCCCAGGGAGGCACCGGAGCTGCGGCAGCTCAGAGTGGAGCCCCGGCCGTGTGGCGCGCGCCCCACCTGCAGCCCCGGCCATCCTCCCGGCCGCCCGCACCCGGCGACGCCGCGCGCTCTGCTGCGCCGCCGCCGCCCCCGATGTCCCCCGCGGACGCCAGCGCGCTCTGAGTGGCCCCGGACACGACTCGCACTCCCTGGGCTCCGCCCCCGCCCGCTCCCCCGACTGCAGGGGTAGCAGCCTGCCAGCGCGCCGCGTAGGCGAAAGCCAGCACGGAGTCCCGCCTCCCTCGGCCCGGCCAATGCGGGTGAGGGGGCTACCAGCGTTGTACGGGGCAACCGCTTTCATCCCACCGCCTCCCACCCCCACCCCCGCCCTCAGGAAAACAAGGAGGACCTGGCCTTGGATGGGAAAATGAGGGGAGGAAACGAAGTGCGAGGACGGAGAGGAGATGGTGGGAACACAGCACCCCGGGCTCCCCAGACCACAGAATAGGAGCTCCAGGTGCCCCAAGATAAGAGTCTATGTGTTTGGGGGTGAGGGGCAGGTACTCAGCACCCTCTTGGGGAAGAACCCAGCTTAGGGAATCAAGGCGAAGAATTCGGTTTCCTAAGGCTCCCCCCAGGATGGATAGGGGCTGCAATAGACCCTCCTTCAGGCTCATTACCTGTCGTCCCTCTTCCTTTGCTCCCTGAGTCATAATAACACCCACTCCTGATGGTCCCAGGGATTCCCCCCGACCCCGCCTCCTGCCTGTCTTACCTGGGGGGCGCTTTTTTGCACACAGTGCCATCTCACCCAGCAAGGTCCCAGCAATCCCATGGGAGACCCTGCAGGAACGTGACATATGCGTGAGGTCAGGAAATTGAGGGTAACCTTCATTCCCCTTTTCAGACTCCTCCTGAAGGTTTTCTTCCCCAGTTCTGACCTTGCCCCTCCCCCAGCCTTCCCCACTAACTCCACAGCAACACTTTGCTCTTACTGCCCTGACAGGTCCCTGAGAAAGAAGAGGGAACTTCCCCACCACCTCCCCCAATGCCTCTGCCTTGGATAACGTGAGGGGACTGACCGTTTACAAAAACCAAGACCGGCTGGGAAAGGAAGGGGGCAAAGAGAAGAGGCCAGATATTGACAGGAAGGGCACAGCTCTCAAGGTACCCATCCCAGGGACAATGGATGCCCCATGTGCCCTCCTGGTGGCAGTGAGTGGGTGCCTGTGTTTACTGGAAAGCAGAATTTCCACTAAAGGGTGGGGTTGAGGGAACTGAGCCAGGAAACACCTGGCAGAGCATCAGGAAACAGGGTGGGCAGGCCCCACCCTTCTCAAAAAGCTTATAATCTTCCCATCCCCACCCCCTCATTACTGGGGCTTCCATTATCACCTCCTCCAGGGGAGCTCACTTTAGAGGCCTGGGCTTCACTTCCTGCACACAGTCCCCAAACCACTTCCTCTCAGTCTGGGTTAGCTGCCCTTCCAGGCCAGCAAAGGGGTCTTTTCAACCCTGCTGGGGAGTCATCCCTATCTCTCTCTCTCTCACCCCAAGCCTAGTGCAGTCAGTCTGGCACTGGGTGAAAGCTCAGGGAGCATCAGTCAGATGGACCTCTGCTTCTTTCTATCTCCCCATGTCCTTCCTTTCACCTAAAAAGGTAAAAGCCCTGGCCTATAGACAGGGTCACAGAGCCTCATCCCAGCTTAGCTCAAAGGAAGCTGCCAGCCAGGTCCTGGGTCCTCTTGTCCACCTCCTCTTTCTCTGTCTGGGTGGAAAGCCTTCCTCCCCCTTGGTTCCCCTGTCTCAAGCCTCCTGGGAACACCCTGCCAGCCTGTCAGCCCTAAGAGATACTAATTGTCTGTCTGCCCAGCCTCTATAATTACACACTCTGGCCAAGGCCCTGTCACCCATACCAGTTCTTCGTTCGCTAAGCCGGACTCCCTTCCTGAACCCCAATCAGGCAATACCTAGAGCCAGAAGTCCTTTTCCTCTCTGACCCTCCCCAACCCTGGCAACCAAAGGAAGAAGAAAAACCTCATCCACGTTTTCGAGATGCCAAGCCTTCCTACAGGGCCCCCAGCCAGGGTCTCCACCCAGTCTAGAGTATGAGTCATAGGAGGGTGGGGCATGGAGAGGTTAAAAGAGAGGATGCAAGGGTGGGCATCACAAGTTCCATAGCCAGCCCCGCCTTCAGGGAGGGAGGCAATCAAGAAACACTATCAGCCTGAAGATCTGGGTTTGACTCCTATGAAAGAAAGAGTTAATGAAGGAGCCGCACAGGCTGTCAGGAGTCTGGACACCTACCAGGAAAGTTGTTTTACCTCTAAGACCCTGGGGAGACTGAAAGCTGGCTGGCCCCAGACTTCATCCCCTCTGGGGTGACATAATAGGGAAGGAAAGGGATGGGGGAGACCTGGGAACAGGGACCCTCTCTCACTTCTTCCCAGTCTCACACAGCCTGGGTTTTCTGAGCCCAGGCCCATTAGCCACGTGGCTCTGCCCCGTCACCCTGCCCCAGCCCCCTCTGCAGCCACATTTGGGATAAAAATAGCCAGCTCTGGGAAGAAGGCAATGCTCCATGGAAGAAAACGGCTCCTCCTCTAGGCCTGGCCCCTGCTCCCCTCCAGCCCAAACCCAGGAAGCCTGACCCCTTCTTTTAGAGGAAGCTGGCAGGGATATTTATGGGCAGGTCAGGGAAACAGAAGAGAATGGAATCCAAGACCCCCAGCTCACTTGCCACCAACGCCTGGCCACTTTCCATGGCCAAGGACAGAACCCAGGACTCTCTCCCAGCTCTGGACTCCCAGAGCTAGCACCTCGCCTTGCACCCTTGGTCTTCCTCACGCACAGAGACCTCCACCTTACAGAGACAACGCCTACCACCCCCAAACTCCCTTCTCCAGGCACCCAAACCCTCGGACCCCGGGTACTCCCCTCACCCCCACGACTCTGGCCGGTTCTCCCCTCTCCGCTGCTCCATAAGCTTCTCCTCCACACTCCCGCACCCCTATGCTGGTCTCCACGCGCCCCTTCAGCACCCCACCCTCCCATCCTGCGGACGGCCTCCCGAATCTCCCCCACCCTCAGGCACCCAACACCATCTTCTCTCCAATCATCCACTTCCCCTCCTCCGTCTCACCGCAGCTCCGACTCCCTGTCCCCTGTCCGCCCCTGCCCACACCCCCCGCCCCGGCTCCTCCAGTCCCGAGTCCACGTCCGCAGCAGCATCTCCCCCTGCCCTCCCGGCCCCGCGCTCCTGGGCTGCTGCCCCCGCCTTGCCAAACCTCACCTCAGCGCTCAGCGCTTGGCGCCCGCCCCGGCGGCCACGTCCTGCCCATGCCGGGGGCTGGGGAGGGGGGCGCTCGGCTCAGCTCCCCGCGGGCTCCCGCCCCCCCAGCTGCAGCCCCTCTCCCCGCAGGGCCTCGGCCAGCTACTTTGTGTCAGTTTCGGCCACGGCGGAGCGGAAGTGACGGAGGTGGCGGGAGAGGGCGGGGGGCGGGAGGGGGTTTTGGGGAGGGATGAGGGAGAGGGAAGGCGGGAGCCGCCATCTTTGTGCGGGGCACGGGGAGGGTCTTAACCCCTCTGATGCTCCTCCGCAGTGTGAGGCCGCTATCGCCGCCCAACCACTCTCCGATCCATCCCCGGTCAAAAAAAAAGTCTGGAGGCGAGATCGCGCTGAGATTTGTGTGTGTGTGTGTGTGTGTGTGTAAAAAAGGAAACAGAAGAACGCTGTTTATCTGCTAATGTGTGAGAGACTTAGGGAAGCGGTGAACGACGAGAATTTTCCTCTGCACCAGCTTTCTTTACCCCTACACTCATTCCCTCTGTTCCTTCGCCTTCTCTCCTCGCCCTGGCTCATCTCACTGTTCACCCTCTCCTTCAATGACACAGCCCGGAATGTCTAGGTATTGGGTCGTGCCTCAGTTTCTCCCGCTTGCTCTCCCAGTCTCTAGGCGCTTGCATGCCTGTGTTCCTCCGGCGGCCCTCCCTTTTTTCCCCCACCACGCCCCCTTGATGGAGGAGGCTCCCCGTACCCCTAATTACTATCTGCGGGGTGCTGAATCTCTGCGAGGCGCCCCAGTGAGCGGAAAGGCGGGCGGTGCTGAGGTTACGAGAGCAAGGAGTCAGGCAGTGGGGACCAAGCTTTGGAGGAAGTCCCCTGGGTTATGCCCCGCACTGGATGGTCGGCCCCCACGATCCTGCGGATTCCCGCAGCCTTCCCAATCCGGGTTCCAGGGTGCGCACCCTCTGGCGGCTACTTTGAGGAACTGCTTTTCTGGAAGTCCAGGGTCCGAAAACCTGCCTGGGGCAGGAGGGGATGAAAAGCCTAGGTCCCTTACCTGATCCTCTTCAATTCTCCCTGTCCAGGCATTCTCCCCAGTTTAGGAGGAAGCGATGCCTAGATGAGTAAACGGAGAAGCTGCCCAGGGCCTGGTGTATTAATAAAGAGAAAAAACGTCTTGTCACCAGGCATGGGTCTCTGGCCCTCTTCAGTGTCCACGAGGGAGGTGAGGACTGTCATGTCAGAATCACAGCTTACTCTCCTGCACCTGAGTTGCGGCAGGACTTTCCGAGTCTGAGGCTTCAGGTTGGGCACACTCTAGATCCTGAGCTGGCTCTGAGTGCTCAGGATGGTGCAGAGCCACCAGCCACTAGTGTGTGGCTGTACTAAGTGTGACCCTCCCTAGAGGGCCTACCACCAGCCACTGCCAGCGCTACAAGAGAAGATCAGAAGGGCGATATCAGGGTGAGTCCCTTAGCCTTCCCTCTGAAGGACAGGCGGTAGTAGTAAGAGAACTCCCTAAAGCGGTTCCTGGGGTGATAGACACCAGAAAGAAGGTGTCTTGGCACCAGAGCATAGCACTTAAAGAGGAGACCCCAGGAGAGCTTGGTCCAGCCTCTTGCCTTAGGGAATTATCTGAATATCTGTGTTTTGTTGATGAGATTACTAATGTCCAAACAGGTAATGTGATGTGCCCAAGAACACAACCTCTAAATGTCACTGTTTCAATGAAAAGAGTGGAGGGGGAGGCAGGGGACAAAAGAGAAAGGGAGAACTTGGGCTTAGAGGAGGTTCACTGTCCTAAGAGGTCAAGAGAACTATTTAAAAGGAAGATCTGGGGACCAAGGGTTAGAGCCTTTAGCAGAGGGATGAGTGGAAGGACAGCACCAGGGGAGGCCGTCTCTCACCTGAAGACTTCAGGGCCCCAGCCAGCCACGTAGGTGAAAAGCCGTGAGTCAAGGTCCCAGGCAGGGTTGATTGGGAACCCACAGCTGGCACCCATGGATAGCCTGATGGCCAGGATCAGCCACCCCACTACCACAGGATCCACACTCGCAGGCACTCCCTTGTTCCGTGTGTCCAGGATGGCTAAGATCCCCACAATCAGCATCCAGGTGCCCAGAACCTTGGAGTGGACAGAGGCAGAGGGGCTCCCATCAGCTGTCAGGTGCTCCATCTGCCCTATCTCACCCAAGCACTCCAGGCTACCACCCCACGTCATCTGACTTTGTCCAACACAGGCAGCTGGGGAAGGTGAGGTGCAAACATAAATGCAACCCCACATCCCACCCAGAGCCTGAACAATAGGCCGAGGTCCCGGGGGACAAGGGCAAAGGTTGTGGCTTTCCCAAATCACCCCCTCATGCCTACCTGATCCAGGAAGCCATTGCTCAGGGACAGATAGGGGGCAAGGTAGGAGACAAAGATGGAGGCTGTCTCCTTGGGACCAGTCACTGTCAAGTTCCCACCTGTATAGTTCTGTAGGGCATCTGCAGGGTCATCTTTGCTCATTCAAAACTGCTCTAAGGCACCCTTGCCCACACACAGGTGTTCCCAACCCTCTTCTCTCTGTTACCATGATAGAGAGCATACACCTATGCTCCAGAGGCACAGAAAGCAGATAGCAACTGCACCAAGGAGTAAATGGGAAACTTGGCCCAGGGGAGGCATCCCAGGAGGCACATGACCAGGGAGAAGGCTGGATTCAGGTGGGCCCCTTCAAGGATCAAGAAAAGAAAACCAATATCCATTGTGTCACTGCCAGGCACTGTCACCTGGTAACACTGCTACTCCTCCCCACAACTCTTAAGACAAATGTTACTCTTCCCATCATATAGATTAGGAAGTTGAGGCTCAAGGAGGTTAAGCAACTTGTCAAGGTCACACAGT